TACCTGGAGCCTCCAATGTGCTCCTTTTTGTGTCCGAAATCAATAAACCAAAAATTATTGGTAATACCAAAAATTATTGGTTAAACCATTTTTGGGGTTCTAGATTAATATAAGCAGATAGCCCCATAGAGTTATTCAAGTTCCGAAGTCACCCTGTAAGACCCTGGAGACACCCCCGGTGCAACATTAATTGTTCTTCACATACCCCACCCCTGAAACTAATCTTCCTCAAGCCCTGAATGTACCAGGCAGGCCTCGGCAGGGTTCCAGCTTCCATCGAAGGGCTTATGATAGGATTATTTTGGGTCTGAGATAGAGCAGGGCTGGAGGATGTAAAGAATGATAAGAGGACTTATTGGGCCTGGGAGTTTTGAACAGACACGACTATTAGATTGTCTCTTACACACACGTGGCTTTTCTTCCACAGACATACGATCCACGCTTTGGAATCTCCCAAGAAACACTTCATCCGTCTGACAGCCATGCTTTCCGAACCTCCACTAAATATTTTCGGACGGTGCCAATTGCTACAGCCGACGGGTGCGTCGTTCTTGATATGCGGGATGTGTAGCCCACAAAACCTTCCATCATTGGAGTTGCAAAAGCACCCGGGTTGAGACACCACATGCGATCACTCTGCAGGAATTGATGAAGTGACCAAAGCCAATGAGCAGCAAAGTGAAACTTCGGAACAATGTTAAACAAAGTCCAGGAACGCTGGTGCCAGTAGAATGCAAGAGCGCGGTAGGCCTTCAAGAACTTGTTTAAGTGTGCATACCCTTGCTTGGCCTCCTCTCGTGTCCAGAAGATTCGATCCTCCGAACAATAGCATAGTCTGTTGAAATCATCAAAACCGCAGCAGCCAGCATAGGCCCAATTCAAAGCATCATTCCTTTCAAAAGGCACACTCGAAAGCATGTCGATGCACCACTGGATCATCATAACACAATCCATGGCTTTGCAACTGCAGTCCGGAAAGCTTGCTTTGGTCTCCCATCCCAAATTGTCGATTGTGAACTCTTGCATGTCGCGGGGATGGAGAGCACGGGCTTCACAGTACGAAGAAAAACTCGTAAAAGCCTCATGCAGCCTAGCAGGCCTCGATTTCAGCCCGGATATCGGTTGAAACAATCCAAGTGGCCCAGCCATCATACAAATCACAGAAGCAATAAACGTCCGACCACAACCGTGCGGGAGCACATGCATCAAATCAAACTGTATGAAGCTGGCATCGCCACCACCAGGAAGAATAGCAAAAGGAGGAGTTTTGGCCCATGGCACACACTTGAAAACAGTATGTGTCCAGACTGCTGTCATGTGAATATGCTCAAAGGGTGCATCACTGCAGTTGGCCAAACAGTGCGGACAAATCTCATTGCAAGTATGATGCCTGATACACCTGTATGCCTTTGTTTGGAAAATGTGATCCCCAGACAATCCAAGCGGCACAAGGAAAAAGGTAACATCCCCCACTGTAATACCCACCCAGTATGCTCTTCGCAGGGATCGTGCCATTTCATCAAACAACCTGTCCAGGACAGGGTTCCCAGCGTCATTCCCTTTGTTGAAATGGGCATACAGCTTGCAGGGGCACGTCGTCATCAGAAACAACCGGTCCCAAGAACCATTGCCAATAGACAACATTGGTCCCCAGGATAGCTGCAACACAGGTCGTCGCCGGTGTCCCACGCCTTCATCCCCATGCAAAAGCACGGGGATGCAAACACTAAGTTCTCCAGCATGATCTTTGAATACCGGGTGTGCCCCATTGACACTTTGATATTTGTGCCAGAAATCAAGGAAAGCCTTGCTCCAAGCATCTGTTTGTATCAAAGGATGCCCTGCTAGAAGCTTTGTCGCCCATTGGCCAGACAGCACCACTTTCGCAAAGTCAGCAGCCTGCAGCATTGGATGCGGTTTCAACACCTCCTTGCGAAGACGTCCCTTTTTTCGTAGTTTGTGTACCTTTACAGCCGTCGGATATGGTCCTACATAGGTCTCCTTTTGCCAGCTAACACATCAGACTCTACAACACAGGACCTTGTACACCAAAAATACAGCAATGATTAGACCGAGTATCGTTTTGGATCCATGTGATAGGCACACCCAACATCAAGCCATGCTGTCGCAGCTTGCTTGTCATATCTCGAAAGCAGTTTCCTTTTCTGCTGCGACTTGCCACACGAGCCAAATCGAGAAGCCTTTCCTTGTCTCTCCGATGCGTAGCCCAGCCAGCCAGCTCCGACTGTGACTTCGCCAGTTTGGCCGCCCGTTTCCCGGAAGAGTCCTTAAATTGGCTCTGCAAACATGTTTGAAGCCCTGACATGACTTGGGAAACACAGCTTGCAAACCAGGCTCCACATAAGCAGTCAACACATTCTCCACGTGCTCGGAGTCACATTCTTTGGTGAGACCTGCGGCGGGGAGCAGAAACGTTTGGAATCGAAACGATGACGAGGCACGTGCAAAACTGTCCAAGGCTTGAATATTTTCTCGTCTACAGCAAGACAAGTCATACTGAAGTGACAAAAAGGAGGGCCATCAACACTGCATCTCCGTCACAGAAAGACAAACTTTTCGAGTGGTTTTAAGAGTACACGACTATGCTTGGGGATACGGTGACATACAAAATCCATGGAGATACCAGTGTCTCAAGCTGCTGAAACACACCCCTCTATCCAAGCTCATATCAGCTTGGCAGCAGATTCCAACTGAGCCGCGCGGATGGAACCCCCATTTTTTGTTTTGCTTTTGCAGCATCACTAACACCCAGGCGGGGGCCCAGCCAAAAACAGAATCAGCTTCATATCTGAGCACTCCTACCCAGCTGTCCACTTCACATGACATCACTCCTATTATACACGGCACACACCGATACGTGCTTGAATGCAGGCCACAGCTCAAAACGGGAATGAGTGACAGCTGAGCCCAGTCAAAATCAGCTCGCTCCCTCCGGAGCCACTTCGGGACCCGCCGCTTTTTTTGGAGCGGCCTTTGTCTTCGCGGCCGTCTTGGCAAAATGAGTCCTTGAATGTGTTTGCACACCAAGATCAACAATGCAAGAACTGCACTGTTGCAACACCACTTGACCGACCAGGCTGCTTGATCTGTGCATGGTAGCTGCTGAACATAATGCACCTCGTGCATCCGGGTTTTGGGAGGGCCGCTGCCAGAACTAAAAGACAAAGCCACACGAACCGGTTTGATTTTACTTCATGCATCCGAAAAACTCCGACCGGATCTTCTCCACGAGAGGAGCAAAGCTCTGCTTCCTCAGTATAGCAGACGAATGTTTGTTCAACAACTTATCCAGGTCCACACATAGAACCCGTGTATAAGCTTAATGGATTACCATGCACCTATCGAATAGCTTAGGAGCCTACACCTATGAAAGGGAGCTCTTGATGACGGCCCTCTACAATCACATATGTATATATGTATATGTGTATATACATATATGTATATACATATGTATATATATATACATACATAAATAGATCTTTTGTATGTGTGTCTAAATATGTGTTACTATTTACTTTATATACACATAACACATATTCACACACACACACATATATATACATAGACAAATATTTGTAGTATGTTATACACATACAACATGCACCTCTAGAGGGTGATTAATTGCTTTAAGGTTTTATTTTAGATAGGCGGGGTCTAACCTGATAACACTAGCCATTCTCAGAACGAAAGCCGGCGAGACCTTGCAAACATTGCCGCGATCCAGCAGCTTTTCTAGCCGGTGCAGCAGCTGCTACATGTAGTGGATTACACTTGCAGGTGATACGGTCTAGCAAGCCAATCACGATCGTCAAGGTTTTGGGGTTTAGAGAGATCTGCAATTCTGTTGTTTTAGGTTCTGAGGAAGCCCACCTGAGTAAAGCTCACGAAAGCTATAGGGTTCTATAGGGCTTTGTGGCTTATAAGGGTTTGGGTAGGAGTGCCCGATGCCTTCCCGATAAGTCTACGGACCTGTGGCCAGAAAGCCTGGCAGCCCCTACAAAAAATATAGACCCCTATATAGATAAATAAATGAATGAATACATATATATATATACACAACGGAAGACCCCAAATAACTAAACCCTAAACCCTAAACCCTAAACCCTAAACCCTAAACCCCTAAACCCTAAACCCTAAACCCTAAACCCTAAACCACCCTAAACCCTAAACCCTAAACCCTAAAATAATACAGCGGAAGACCCCAAATAACTAAAATAACAAACTTTATATCAGGCTGAGAAGCCACAAAACCCCAATCCTGAAACCTTACAACCCCAGACCATCCCAGAAACCATAGTATCCCGGCCTTCACCCTTCGCCCACGGCTCGCTGCGGCGAGTGCTGCTGAAAAAGGCGGAGGCCAGCGAGAGGGCTTTCGGATGTAGGTTTAAGAGGCATATACAGGGGCTTTCGGATTTAGGTTGGTTTTGTAGGCATATACAGGACTACAGGGTAACAAGGGTACCCCAGCTACTAGGATCACAGTGTAGGCTAGGAACAAGCCACCATCGGCGCTGGCTTCGATCTTCGCCAGCTCGTTTAAGAAGCTCCCGAGCTTTTCTTGGTAGGCATACTTTCTTGCTCATCTTTGCACACGGACAAAAGCACCATACTGCTAGCAAGGCACCACCGCTCACGACCAAGACCTTGAGGTCCTCCCTGCAGCAGCAGGCAGTCAGAATTATCAGAAGGCTTGTGCAAGACATACAAACAGTTTATATGGCATAAAGGCAAGCTAGGAGCTCATGGCCCTTTGCTCCCTCCTTCTCCAGCCGCTCACGTGCACCCTTCAAGAGAGCTTTGCGGGACAGGACCGCACGTCTGTATTGTCCTAAGTACTCCTGGATCGTTTCCTCACCTTCGACGGCCGGGTACTCGGCCAAGCGCTTCTTGGTGGTCGGGGGCTTGGTCTCGGTACTGGTCTCCCCGTCCAACTCCTCCATGATGTCTCCCAGCTCGAAGTCGCTGGACAGCAGTCCCATCTGCGCCATTTCCTGCTGCAGCTCCTGCAGCTTCTCCTCTGCACTCTCCACATCGTCTCGAACAAGCACGAGGAACTTGCGGATGTTGGGGTCATACAAGTCTTTCCTAAGACGAGTTGCAACTCCATATAGGTACAGCACATGCCTTCAAAAGTTGGCACAAGGCACTAGTGGAACGATCGGTCTAGATGACGGCCATGGCACTTCGTGAGCTTCTTCTTCTCGCAGTGCTTGATAGCACCCTGAATCCTTGACCTTAGGTTCTGCACTCAGCTAATTTGTAGTGGTTGCTACATAGGATATCACGAACACTGTTGTATCCCAGATGCTCCTCCCATTCGAGAGGCGGCTTCCGCATCTCAGCTTCGGTTTTCCACGAATAGCCCTGTAGATTTTTCCTCCACTTCACTGTCTTGGTCCGGA